GCTGGATTCTCGTACAAGGGGGCATGAAATGAAGCTAGTCAAGGCCCGGTCTCGACTAATAGCCCGGTCATATTTCTTCAGTAACAGGGTAGTAAACATATGGAACAGACTACCTGTGGAGCTAGTACAACTGCAGACGGTGCTAGCATTTAAGTCGGCCCTGGACGAACGGCGGTGTGAACTTGTTCCTGAAGTCGAGGTCTGACAAGCTAGCGACTTGAGAAAACTGAGAGGATTGAAAGCGGTCACTCAGGTTGTATATTTTTTGTTTTCGCTCAGTTATGTATTGAGGAACGCTCACGTGTAACAATCTCTCGCCCTGGAGGTGAGATGAGACGTCCTTCCCTTCCTCTTTCCAGCCACGAAGTACGGATTACTTTTCGCAGTGGTGGATGCCATACTTGACCGCATACCACCGAAGGAATTCTGGACGCTCGATTGGCCGTGGCCATTTTCTGTTCTGTGCAAACTGAACTGAACCTACTCTACCTAAAATATCTGAGTATTCTTTGATGCATCGTTTCCACGTCATCCGTTGACCTCCAAGTGGTTCTCTCCAACCCGGAGTTGCTACATAGAATAAAGTGCGGTAGACGATAGCCCGGCATGCGCATTAGACGTACTTGCCAGTAAAGACTACTGATCTCAATTCGATGGATTCATGTATATATAAATATATATATCCTCCAAAAGCCTCAGTATGGTCGGGGTGGATATCTACGGTTGCGGTTGGTCCTATTTTCCTCGCACCTCGCGAAATGCTCCCTCACCGCCAGCCGTCTCGAATAGCCTCTGCTAAGGAAGCCCGACTCATTGCCTTCTCGTGGCGGTTTCCCCACCAAAGTGAGAGGACGAAAAGCCGACATCCGGGGCTATAACCAGGCTGGTGGATCAATGGTAATTCACCTAGGGGAGTTGGTCAAAAACCCTGACCCTAAACCAAGAGGCGTACGAACCACACTCACCTTCCTGGTTCTGGCAGTGGTTACCGGCCCATTGGGCACCTTGGACGTTCGAAGCCCTCCGAAGGGCGAATGATCCGATGAACTGGACACCGGCCTCCAATAGATTGCGGCTTTCGCACATAGCCCCGTTGCCTCGCGGGTCAGGCTTTGGCTAGCCAAAGGCTCCGGTTGTGAATTCCTCAAGACGATTCACCTACCTTGATCCGGGTATATATATATATATACATATATATGCACACCTGTCGATCTAATTTTCGCTACGGAGGCATAATGAGCCCCTAACAGCAAATTGGGACTCAGAAAACGGATGGAGCTAGCCAACACCATCGAACCAAATAGAAAAGCTATTCGGGATGTAATGAACACCAAAATTAACAAATTCCCTACTGACAGCGACCGTATGTGCTGTTTCGAAAGTGACCACTTCATGGGTCAATATAAACCCATGGCATCCATTTTTACACTGACGATCAATACGGCAGCGATGCAATGAATAACTATTCGGAAATTGTGAATACGAGTTTTACAAATATCAATTATCAATAGGATATATATATATGCAGGATAAGCGATCGGATAGCGATTCCACTCCCACAAAACTTGGTATCACCCAATAAAAAAAACAAAGCTCAAAATAGTCTGCGAATTTATTGTAGTAGAATATCAGCTACTAAATAGTTCAAGTGTCTATTAGAAGTTATTCGTGAATCCAGCCTTTCATCGTTTGATCATATTTGCACAGCTCCTCTGGTTTGAACCACAAATTGATTTCCCGTACAGCGCTTTCTACGGAGTCCGATCCATGCACCATATTGCGGCCGACCATTTGACAGAAATCACCACGAAGTGAGCCAGGAGTGGACTCCTCTGGTTTCGTAGCACCCAGCATTGAGCGGCCACAGTCGACAGCCTATCGAAGGAGAATTTGAAAGACAACCTGTATTAGACCCTATAGCAACCTCACAAGTCGACGTTGTATGTGATAGGCTTACAAAGCAGAGAATATGGAATTACTGTTGGTAAATGCAAAAGCGCAATTACGGCGTCGTTGTAACAAGCTGTTTTATGTTTATTACATCTCCAGAGCGGGAGATTGGGTTAGAAAATTTGTTTATTTTGAGGCGTGCTGGATAAATTGGGTTGCGCTCTTTTTCACTAAGGTCCTTACACGCATTGCAGAACTCAGAGCCCGTGAAATTACCACAAGGGCTACAAGATGCGGGTGGTACATTCTGCACCGTGGTGAAATCCAACCTTTGCACAACAGCCATGGGAAAACTAACCTTATACCCTTCGAATACCATCGGTACCACGGGTCCGGAGGACATGTATTGAGCGAGACCGGGGAAGAACGGTTTGTTAACGTGGGCCTCGTAATGTTTATGCAGCAACTCCTTCGAGGCGTGCATCATTTTCAAGCCTACAAGTTTATAACCACGTTGCTCGAATCGTTTGATCACTTCTCCAACTAGGCCCCGGGCAACGCCATCAGGCTTCACCATGATGAAAGTACGCTCCTCCTTGCTCATGATTGCGGGACACGTGAACGGTATCGCGCTGAATAGATTGAGGTCAGTGGCACAATATTCCGACAGCGCATTAAAACAAAACGTTGTTACTTTGACGTGTGAAATGGATGATAGATGAAACCCAATGATCCCGGTTGTTTTTTGGTTGAGCTCCGGATTTTATCCATTACCGTGACGGGAGTTACCTCGGTCCAGTCCAGTCTACACGGGACGAATATTTGCCCTTGCCAATCGAGCGTCCAGATTATTGTGTTTTCAGTGGGTGTTCTTGGCTCCAAACGCTGCATTTTCATGTCAATTCAGGTCAGTTCACAGGCCTGGCGGCTGTTCAGTTCAGTTCAGTTCAGTTCAGTTGCACAGGACGAATATGGCTCTTGCCAATCGAGCGTCCAGTTCGTTGTGTTGTCGGCGGATGGGATTGGCTTCCAACACTGCGTACGGTTGATTGAGTATTTGTGATCCTCACACTTCAACCCCGTGTCCAGAACGTTGTCTCCTTACGGGTATGCTGAAAGGGAGGAAAACAAGCAAGGATATCTCCTCGCCTCATTGGTTAGAGACCTCAAGTACACTTGCGCTAGTATACAGCTTACGTGTGACAA